ACTAACCGAAATACGTGAAATAGACTAGCATCGCTGCGACGAATGCACCACAAATTTGCGCTAAGCAATATACGGCGAGCTTGATGGCCGAAAGTCGACCCATCGTAAAGAATGCGAATGAGACAGCCGGATTTAGATGAGCACCTAAACTGAGATGATATTGTGAGACGAAACCTCGATCATATGGTTGATCAAAAACAAGATTTCCTAATAGTCATTACCCTTAGACCGAGATTTGCGCTTGCAAGATAAATTTGGGCTGAAGAACATTCAGCGTAGACAACTGATAATCGTCGAAAATATATGGTGATGGAGCTGAACGATTCGAGCAATCAAACAACCTGATATATGATATCCTGCATAAACGGCGAATGCCAGTGATAGCCCACCGCCTAGATTAACACTGATCCATGTGTTCTGTAGCTGTTTCGAAAGAATGTACTGTGCCTTTGAACCGAGTCCTCCAAGCTGCAATCCGTTTATCAACAACAACAGCTGATTGCAAAACTTTTGCATATTTTCATCGATGGACAATCTTATGATTGATTCATCGCTCATTCAACAGAGTCGATTCACATGCATCATTCAGTGCATAAATGCNGAGGTTGATTTTGATTCTTTTAATGTTATCATTCAAAACACTGCAAAACATTATGTGATAGAAGCTAATCCGTTCTGTCCAAATACGATTGACTGTTACATTTGCCTTTCATCGTATTTCTTTGATCAAATTGGATCGACATTATTTTCGGAAAACAGACTGAACATAATCGATATAATTTTCTCATGGAATCGTTCAATTTCATCAGAATTTTAAGACATAATATACTGGAATAATCCATTTTCTTAAACTAATGATATGATGTTGTGGATGAGAACAATAGATGAGTAAGCTCAAATGATCAAGCAAGCAGTAATTACAATGAACATTGTAGTGCAGATGAATTCAGATAATGCGCATCGTGCCAGTTCATTACGAATATACACTCTCGATCTGATCAAATCCACTCTATCTGTTGCCTTAGCGCTCATTGAATTCAATCGTCGTTGCTTGAAGCAGCAATTTCGATAAGCGTCTGGTATTTTTCGTTGGTTTACCAGTGGTGAACGTTTCTCTGAAAACCAATTACAGTCCGAATGGAATTCTGTTCTAATAACAAATACATCAGCAACGTTTCAGTTATAATATAAGACTTAAAGTAGGATTTATCTTTCACTGGAAAATATGAATCTATCAAGTTGACCAGTTGAACCGGCTAAGGTAACAATGATAAAACGATGGATTTTTCAAAAAAGACTGTGGTATCATGGCACTTTGAGTCATCGAGATAGTTGCTTCATGGATAGTCGTAGTAATAGGTGGGAAAACAACTCCGCCTGACAATCCTATCACTGAAACCTGACGAACGCGTACGCCTGCGAACATGACTTCGATGTAAGTGATTCTCGACCTGCCGTATGAACAGACTAATGAGTTTGATTCTGAATGGGCACGTAAAAGTTGCCCCATTGGCAACTGAACTGCTTTTCGTTCGAGTAGTTGAGCAATTGAGTGGAATTCTAGCAAGAATCAACAATGTTACTTACATTCACAATAGAACTTTTTATCTCGAATTGTTCATTTTGTACAGCTGATCGAAAGAATCTCCTATTGAGAATACTGTTCTATTTAGCACAAGTAAACATTTTTTTAGGTGATACAGTTTGTTATCTTTCCCATTGTAATCTTTGTTTTTGAAACACTTAACGAACTTAGGCAAAAAAATATGATTTGACTTCCCATAATAGCACTTTTTTCTTTCATTCTCAATTGTTCGTCACATTCTTCGATAATTTGTCACCAATTTAGAAGTTTTTTGAGCAGTGAGTAAGTTTGTGTTTTCCTTAAAACATTTTCAAAGGTATAGAATTACTCGGTCGTGTTTCTTTGCTTACGACACCAGTAAATGAATGCACGACACCGTAGTCACGCAAATACAGATTGCAATTTGCTATGTCAGACTCCAGCCTGCAATCCAGTGGTTCTCACGTTCCGGTGCTCTATTACGCCTTTAACGATCTAGCAGGCCGTCGTTACCCCACCTCTTCCCCCTGATGCAAGAACTAAATAATTCTGCATATAACGTCAGGAACGAACGGAAAGCCGGTGCAGAAACTTTTGAGGAATTTTAAATATAATTTCTGTTAATGTATTGATCTCAGTTTAATCTACACGCGGTGGCAATGAGCTTTCTTGGGATCAGATTCCATGAATCCGTTATAGGTGATGTCAATTCCCCGGATTATCCGAATTGTTCACCTTAACATTACCATTGCATATGGGAATCACATAGGTTACGTCCAGATCTTGTTGACACGTTTATGATGGTATTCAGCATCGCTGGACTTCCTCTTATTGTTAGACCGTTGTGTTCCTCAGTATTGCGATCGATTATGATTGCATGAAAAGCTATTGTCTATGACGTGATCACTTCATGGATTCTCATTCTTTTCAGACGTGTTGTAGTCGCTCTCATAGCTATTGCATGCGAATACCGTTCTCTTCATGAGTTTTTATCATTCACTTCGTCTCATTTCACTTCACAGCTCGAATCAGTTTCTCATTCTGTAGCGTATACTATACGAATATCGTTCTCTTGATGAGTTTTTCTCATTCATTTCGTCTCATTTTGCAGTTAGAATCGATTTCTTATTCTGTAGCATATACTATTTACTGGATAGCTCGAATCAGTTTCTCATTCTGTAGCATATACTATTTATTGAATACGTTGACGAGTGTTGACAACCGAGACCAACAATACAACAATCGAATTGAATTGCTCAACAACGTTCGACAGTCCAATTATCAATTATAGAGTGTACTTAAAAGAATGAGAATTTGACTTTAATTGTTGAATGAAATGAATGAGAAATTAGCAGAAGAGAACACTTTTGATGATAAAAGCTATGAGAGTGATTATAGCAGCAAGGAAAAGAATGAAAATTTTGTTAAAACGAATGAAAACCCTGTTAGGCCCGGACAAGCTAACGATAGTGTTAAAACAATTGAAAACGCTGTTAGACCTAAACGAGCTAATGATACTGAGAAAATAGGAATATAGAGAGTATCGCCATCAACATTTTCATATCCGAGTTTAACAAAACGAATGAATCTACTGTTCTTTTATTCATGAACTAGAAGTAATAAGCTCGTGACAAAAAATCCAAAATAATATTCCGCAATGAATAAAAAATCGAAAAAAAAAACACTTCATTTCATACAACGCAAATGAAACAACACATTAT